GGCGGAGCGACGCGGAGCGCCGCGCGCTCGGCAGCGGGCTCGGCTCCCTCCGGGGCGGCTCGGCCGCGCTCGGATCGGGCTCGGCCGCGCTCGGCTCGCTCCGGGGAGACTCGGATCGGGCTCGGCCGCGCTCGGCTCGCTCCGGGGAGACTCGGATCGGGCTCGGCGGCGTTCGGCTCGCTCCGAGGCGGCTCGGCCGCGCTCGGCGCGCTGCGGGGAGGCTCGGCTCGGGCTCGGCTCTCTGCCTTAAGCCTCGGCCAAGTTCGGCTCGAGTTCGGAAGCGCTCGGCTCGCAGCGGGGCGGCTCGGCTAGAGTTCGGAAGCGCTCGGCTCGCAGCGGGGTGGCTCGCCTCGGGCTCGGCAGCGCTCGGCTCGCTGCCCGTAGCCTCGTCTAAGTTCGGAAGCGCTCGTCCCTCTGCTTCGGCAGCTCGGGAAGCCTCGGTAGAATTCGGAGTCGCTCGGCAAAGGTCGGACACCGCCCCGGGGCTGTCCCCCCCAGCCGCTCTGCCGCCAGCCCGGGGCAGGCAGCGGGCAGGGCCCCGCGCTTGTCGCCCCTCGTGCATCTCGCCCCTGGAAGAGACTCTAAAGCGAAGTGTGCAGCACGCAGGATGCAGCCGGAGGGGCCTGCCACGAGGCTGCACACAATGCCCAGCCACACAGGGGAGCGGGGTTCTCCCTGCCGTGCAACAGAGCTGTTACCGTGTCCCGTGCAGCTGCCCTGAAGCACGCTGTCCACCCCGGGGCCTCGTTTGCAGAGAGTTCTTCCAGCCAAGGGAAGACCCCCCTCACAGCTGGTCCCTCCTTGCACTCCCGCTCCAGAGAGCAGCCTCAGGGGCCAGTGAGCGGTGGGGAGCCTTCTCCAGCGCTGCACGGCCTGTGGAGACCTGCAGGCTGCCACAGGAGTCTGCTGCATGGGCAAAAAAGTCTTCCGAGCCCATTGGACACAACTGGAGCCACATCCAGTGTCTTGTGCGCACAGGGCCAGGGTGCATGAGTGTGTGAGCTCCGCGTGTGGAGCTGCTGGCCCAAGCCGTGGCCTCTGGAGGAGCGACAAGGGAACCCCCCTCCCTATGCCCATAGCTTCACACCAGCACCAAAATACCCCCTTTTGAACCAGCTGCCGTTGCACTACTTTTATTTTAAACCCAACTAAAACGCATGACACTTCGCTGCAGCCGCCGCTGCGCTTTGGCAAAGTGCTCCAGAGGCTTTGTTGGCCGCCAGGTCTCTCCCAGGTGTGTAGCTGATTTGGAGACAATTACAGAGATATATACGCATATGTGTATGTATTAGGTGTATGTATATATATAAAAATGTGCATTCCCTGGGGATAGGCGCCGTCGGCAGCGGCCCGGGCCCCGCAGGACACGCCGTCGCTCCAGACGGGCACGGCACGGGCACGGACACGGGCCTCCCCGCCGCGGCCGCGCCGCAGGAAGCGCCGCCATGGGCGCCGGTGACGCGGCGGGGCGGGCGGAAGGGGCGGGCGGCGCCATGGGGCGGCGGCGGC